GGCGGCAGTGTCGCTCTAGTAAAACAGTTCTTCGTATTTTGGTGGAAGACGTTGTACAGCGATCTACGTCAATTGGGGTCACGGCTGGTATTAGGGGGGACGTAAATAGATATAACTTCATAAAAATGATCTCCAGGTTATTGCCTTCTCTTCACATAACGCTCCCCAAGAAGATATAATACATGATTGTGGTAAACATCTAAGGATGTTTGAATAGCCACATATAAGGTAGTTCTTGGCCGTTACGGTTCGTAAATATCTGAGGTTAGAAGACAGATCCTTGAATTAAGATATTGTAGGCGGAAATTTCTGACATGTCTCTACTGTCAAATGGCAATCGTCCAAATAAAATCAGCCATGCCTATTTGCTATTTACCTGGGTGACGTTTCGCAGCTAACGGCACCGGAGAGAAGGGGGGGATATCTATTTAAGGAGTCCGACAACGTTTATTTTATCTCGGCCTTTGATCAATACGGTCGTAAGCGGGACACTATGGCCGACAGTAGACTCGATATTCATTCTCCTCCAGATTTCAGGCGGGAGATGCGCTTTTGCAATCTCACGATATGAGCAATTTACGAGCCCATACGGCTCGAGGGGACGCGTGTCAGAGGAAGGCCTGACGGGGGGGTCTGAAGGGGCACCGGCAAGCAAGGCCTGAGAGAAGGCCCAACAGACCATCATGCTGGGCTTAGGCACCGGGGTATCGCCGCCTATCGGGGGCGGCCTCCCTGAGTAAACAGCATTGAGCCATCGGAAAGGTGCGTCTGTCGTTGGGCGTACCTAAATGAACACTAGAAAAAATGTTGCGGGGCCAGGTGTCCTGAGAGCGCCGGCTCGGTGAGAATGTTATTGTCGACGGGCTTAGCAGAGCCTCAGCACGCTTCATGGCGATCTCGTAGCATCAACACTGGGATGATCTCAACACACACACACTCCGCGCTGTGGTGCTTAGGTCTGCCGGAGCTTGAATGGGGTGGACCAGCAGCGATATGGAGGATCTCGTGCCACGTTACAGGAACCGGGATTCATCTCCCACTTTGATTTCCCATTCGGCATTTGAATACTCTACTTCTTGTATACCGGGATCCCTCAGCTCAAGCCCACATATCGCGACCTGGGTTTACCAAGGGCTGGGCTCTGGGTCGGCCACGTATATGCGCGTCATCTGCCTGAGGCCAAGCTCATCTTTGTAGGACAATATCGGCACAGTAAAACACCAGCTGCCTCTCTAGCTCCCTCTAAGAAAACCCCAGGCAGCTAACATGCACAGCCATAAAAAGGGGAAAGTCGGGGTGGAAAGCGAAGACGCGCAGGAGAGGAGAAGCACGTTTGACAAACGATTTCAGAGAAACAGTCCCTATTGGGAAATTCGAAGCGAACGAATACGGAAATCCAAAAAGGGATTACATGCTAGTATTGGTGCAACTAAAGGGTTTAGGCAACGTGGAATATCAGTTGGGGGAGCCAAAGCTCTGCTTCCTGTCGAAAGTTGGGTCTTCGCGGATCCGATGACCGGCAGATGCAAAGGGGGAGGAGAGGCTGGCGTTTTGAAGCATATCGCGTATACCGGCCGTCTCAGCTCGGGATGGATAATACTGCCAGCCAGCGGGACACATTAACTGCCCCGACGTTCCGAAACCGTGTGGGAGGAGGGAGCGAGATGGCCTTCTCCAACCGAGAGAGCCGAGATACGTGGGCGATGTGAAGGAGGAATGGCCTCAAGACTTTGCAATCCTGGCGGTCGATCCAAGGCCGAGCAAGGCGCCAACCCGCTGACAGTTCCCCGGGGACGCTCATGACACGGGGTCTTTGGGACATAATTGGTTCGGGATCCTGACTTGCTAAGACTCTAGGCTGCCCAACTATTCTCTTGATGGGCAGCCAGGTGGTGGGAAGGACTTCGGGTAAGGCCCCCTCTTGTACAACAGCATGCATTACAGACACGCCACTTCTGTCAAGCTGCTTCGGTCAATTTCTTGATATTCGTACCTCGGCCCTGTCTCGATGATTGGGCGAGTGGTTTGCTCCGTATCAAATGACGCTGGAATGTCACAAGGGTCGATACCAATGTCGCTGTACGTACAGCTTTGTCCCACGTCTGGCACACCAACGCTGAAGGCTGGGATCCGACGATCTAAGCCTTGCTACAGTGCAGCGCAGATATTAACGGGTGGCTAAGCCTGACGCCTAACTGGCTCGGGGCCTGCGAGGAGAGGCGATCGATGCTGCTGGCGACGCTTCCATCGCGTATTGTAGGTATTCCGGTGTGCCGAAGCCTCGCATGCGTGATCTTCTAAGCCTGCGCCATACAGGAAGGACAGGAAGCTCTGTAGGCGTATCGGAGGGTCTACGACGCGAGCACAAGCGCGCAGCCAAAAAGCAGCAGCAGCAGCAGCAGCTCTGAGGGTGGTATATGAAGGGGGAGAAAGCCTACAGCCTATTCGACCAAAACGTGATTGCAACGGTGGGTGGCTGCATGGCAAGCGTGTGTCGAGTCCCCCCCTCCCTCCTCGCCCCTTTTGAGATCTCCTGCAGATCCTTGAGGATACGGCCAGGTGTGATGAAGTATTACTCACACTGCGAACCTGAAGGGGAATAGCCACGACGCCTGGATATCCCACCTAGCTTGAAATTACTTTCCGCAGAGTGGTCGTCACTCGCTGCTGGGGTCGAAGCCGAATGCCCCTGGCCGCTTTGCCATCGACTTGGCCGGGACCCGCTGGGTAAAACGCCAGCAAACAGCATCAACATCACGCCACAGGCGAGGAACAACCAATTCACGCCCGTAGCCACTTAGGCTGCCGCATATCTACGCTCCCAACCACGCCGATTTAGATTGCGCGAGGTAAAGACCGAGACGCTGTAAGGAGAAAAGGAGGGCACGCATAGCAGCACCCCCGGGTTCCTTGACGTTATCGTGTGAGTAGGTGGCTGCGTATTAGATCCGGGGAGGTGATTTGTAGGAGATGGCGCTAGTCGGTATTTTGGGGTCGAGTAACGATCTTAGAACTTAGCTAGAGTATTAGTGGTGCTCTCTGTAGTCGACGGTGGACGGGTTCTATTCGCTTACCTGGGTCGGCGACGGTGCGGTCTCTATTTAACAATTTGCCCCTACGACGAAGAGCGGAGAGTCGGGGAGAGGCGACGGGCATTGCCAGACATGTCGCAGCATATGTATGAGTTTCTCAACCGTGGCGTGGACGGCGAGATACGAAACACAGGTTTCGCACAGTGCCCATAGTCCTGGGGGAAGGGGGGGGGGCCCTCGACGCCGGTCTCTATATACCGACCGAGTAATAAATCTACGCATCGATCTTGTATTCAGCAGTTCCTAGATCGGAAAGGAGGAGGACTCTTAGCCGGATCTCGACCGTACATGCGTGGACAGCTGGCTGGAACTGCCCTCGCGAGCCACGCGCTCGATGGGTTGGAGCCGGCCACGCACAATCCGACGAGGAGCCCGACGAGTTGCCGTCTTACCCTCATTCGCACACATGGCTGTTGGCTACGCCCAGCGCCGAACTCCAGGCATAGCTATCGCCTAGCCTCGAGCGTCTGTCGGAAAAGGCCATCCTCACCCGATGCCCACCATGTGTGCTCGCGTTGGCTGGGGGCGTTGTAGAGAACTCGGCGGCATCCGAGATGATACTACGAGATGATGCTACTGCTATTCTCCTTACGTGCCCCTTCTGCTGCTCGGCTTCCGTTGCTAGACCCCGGTTCAAGTGCTCCCACTACTACGTACGGGCGTTCGCATACGGCACCTTCTGGCACTAGAGGGGGCAAGTCGAGGGGTGCCTTCGATGATGGAGTGCGTCTCAACTCGGTAGGCGAGTTCTAGTTAGTTAGTAGTAGTTGCCTTTCACGGGCTTAAGCAAGTGTTGCGACTACTTCTAAACCAGGTAGCCTCGCCTCCTCTCAGCGATGTACTGTATACCCTGCGCCCTCGCCCAAACCTGCAGATTTCTCCCCGTCACGCAGGTATCGAGGTACCTACAGACAGGTACCGACCTGGGAGGAGGTAGTTACCTTGTATTACCGTGTTTCTAGAAAGGAAATGCATACCCTACACATACATACATACATACATACACAAAGCAGGTGGGTACTATGCATGCAGACGGTACCTCTGAGGAGGTAAGGTGCCTGCCCCTAGTAGGTATCTGGATACATCCTCGCTGCCAGGAGATATACATGGCGACAATTAGGCACATGCCTGCTCCGTTAGGTATCGGCAGAAGTATACTGCTCGGTATACTACATGTACATGCGCACGTACACACCTCTGTACCTAGGAGCTACGTAGTATGGTAGATGCCATGCGCCCTTTTGGGGCGAGTGGGGCTGCTCATCATCAGTGTCCCTGTCTGGCCGGGATATTCCTGGCACTACAGGGACCCTCACTCGCCCTCTGGCCTCTGGTTGGCCCGAGGGCCTGCCCTGCGTGATATCTCTCCCACCCTGCTAAATTTCCCCTTGCAAACCTCTGGCCAAACCGTCTGCAGACCTATGGGCCGTGCAGACGAACAGGGGCGTTCTACACCGGTCGTAGCAAACGGGACAGACAGTGCGAGCGGGAACGCGTGGAAGCCCGCTGGACCTCTCTATATGCACACACACACACACACACACACACACACACACACACACACACACACACATATACCTACCTATATATATATATATATCATATTACTGGATCCGTTGGGATATACCTACCTCCTACGTAGGTAAATAGGTATATACGTACACATGCATATTATACGTACACACATCTCTCTCTTTCTCTCTGGCTTCTTCATTTGTTCTGCCTTAGGTACGTGTAGAGTTACGTTGTTATGAGTAATATGTGTGTATATGTGCCTAAGATGTGTATGTACCTAGTGTATATATGTATCTATCTACACACCCATCTACATACCTGTTCCGTAAGGTGTTTACTTTTTCCCTTCCTCTTCTCTTCTCTACCCTTTCTTTTCCTTTCCTTAACCCCCCCCCCCCTCCCATCCTCTCTCCCCTCTCCTCTCCAAAAACACGTGTCGAACCTGTCCGATTATCGACTTGACTTACTCACAGGGTACCTGCGGGTTTCAGTGGCCACGACGAGGGCTTATGTTTGCTTTTTCTTTTCGTTTCTTCCCTTCTATGTTGGGGACTAGAGGCTTTTCTCTTGCGTAGGTCAAGTCTTGGCCCGAGAGGCTTTTCGACACCGCCGACTCTGCTAAGCACTAGAGAAAATCTCATCCCGTCCCGCGCCTATGACGCTCAATACTGACTATCCGTTGTGCTATCTATCTCCCAATCCTCCTTCTTCTCTTCTTTCTTGCTTCTCTCGCCCTCGATGCTCCAGACAATTCCGTACCTACGTATTTGCGTAGACTTGTCCACCTCGCTTGTTTTGTTGCCTGTTACCCGGTGTTCCCCCTGTTTCCTGGAGCTCTTCTCAGTATATGCACACATACCCTCTCTACCCGATGTATGTGTCTACTGTATATACCGTCGTCATCAGCTAGTTTCCCTCAGGGTGGTGGGCAGCCAATCTGCCGATCATCCCAACTCCAGCTCCGTTCGAGATCTCGGAGGCCTTTGAGCCGGATAAGGTGCTTTCGGTTTTCTGATGATGGTCTTCCTGAGAGAGAGATCCCGGCACACTCGGCGAGGAGGTGCGCGCAGGCTCCCCTGTAACCTAAGGTAGGTTGTTACTCGCAATATACATACAGATACAACGGTGAGATTGTGGAAATGGCCTCCGTCCCCTCTATACTACAGAATATCTACCTATAATAAGGGGATATGCTTAGAATAGGTTTAATTTAACTAATAATTCTATAGGAGGTCTCTTAGGTCCTTGTTTTCTTCTAAGTTCTACGTTCCCTTTTCGTCCTAATATAACCCGGAAGTACCGTTATACCTTTATACCTTTATACCTTAATGCCGAAGCTATTCGAAGCTTATTTAGGACTTTCCTTAGTAGGTCGCCGAGGTAACGGCTTTAATGCCTAATATTATTCTCCTAACCCTTATAGCTTAATTTATTAGCGTAAGGTTCCATTCCCGTATAATATTATCTCCTTTTTTCGGAAGAGCTCGTTCCTAAGCGTAATACCTAGGCCCGATAGTTAGTAGGTTTATTAAGGTTTTATAGGTAGAATAACTTAACGGCTCCTTTCGTTCCTTCGGTAGTAAAGTACTCCTACGGTTCCTAAGTTTAATAGCGCTTAGCCGGCTAACCTTATTACTTTATTAAGTACCTAATAACTTCTTCGGTCCTTACGGAATTTAGTACCTTATTTACCTCGTAGTTTTCTACCTCGATCGGGGCTACTTTCCGTAGGACCTAGTTAAGGTTAGGTAATTCCTAATTACTAGCGCGGTAGGATTCGATAAGGAATACGTAAAAGGTATTATAAATACGCTAGCCTTTCGGGAGTATTAGAATTACGGCGGTAGGGGAGACGACCTTTTAAACCTTAAAGGGACCGAATATCTTTTTATTTATTTTCTTTATAAGGCGTTTAGTTTTAATATTACGGATATTTAATATAACGAGTTATCCGACCTTTAAAAGGGGTTCCTTTTTTCGGTACTTATTTATTTATCCTTTTATCCGCTACCGTACTTTTTTTAAATGTTACTTAGCCTCGTTATATATCCGAATTATTTAATAAGTATAGAGGTTACTTCTTAAATTCTTAAGGGTACCTAAAGGGGGGTTATATATTACTAGGTATTACTTATAGTTAGCGTAAAAGGGTAATATATTAATAGCTATTAAAGCGGTATTATTATAAGTAAATTCGGTAATAAGTAGTAAGCTTTCCTAGTCGCTTATTTCGTAATTTACGAAGGCGCGTAGGTATGCTTTTAGGATTTAGTTAAGTTTCTTTATTTATTTATCCGTTTAAAGGTAGAAGGCGGTACTTATTCTAGGCTTAACGCCGAGGAACTTTAAGACGCCTTTTTATATATAAGAGGTAAATCGCGAGTCTCGGTCGGAGATAATATCTAAGGGGATCCTATATAACCGCTAATAACTACGTATAAAGATAGGTATTAGGTCTTCGGCTTTTTTACCGTCCTTTTTTAGTAGGATAAAGTACGTTATCTTAATAAAGGGGTCTATAATAACTTAAATAAAATCGTAGCCGTTAAATATTAATAAGTCCGTAATAAAGTCTATCGCGATCGTTTACTATAGTCGATAATATAGTTCCATAAGCTATAGTAATCCGAACGGGGTATATCGGGATGCCTTATTTTACTAGTACTCGCGGTACCCTTTAACGAATTCCCTAATTATTACTTTTAGATTAGGTTATTAAAAGTTACGAGCGATAAGTTCTATGGTTTTATTTATACTTATATGCCTCGCTACTTTAATATCGTATTCCGATTTAATTACTTCTTGTTATAGGTCCTTAGGTATTTAAAAACGGTTTCGCCGATAGAAAAGACCTTCCTAGAGCTTTATTTCCTTGCCGAGTAGTTTAACTAGCTAGGCCTAATACTCCGGGTTTTATATAGCTACCGTTTTAATCTATTTAACGAACTTTAGGGTTTAAGTAGGTATTAGGATATTACTTAATCGTACGCTAGAGAGTATTACCGTAAGCGAGCCTGGATTTTTTAAAAAATACTTTTCCTATAGAACCGTCGTTATCGGCTAGTCTTTAGCTCCCCTTTTTTTAAGGCGATATTATAATAGTTTAAATAAAATATCGGCCTTTTTATTTTACTTCTTTAAGCGATAATATATTATAAAGTAATACGAGGAGAGCTATTAAGCTTAGCGGACTTAACGTCGATTTAGTACTTTTATCGTAATAAAGTACGTTAGGTTCTAATAATCGGAGTATACTTTTATTTAATACTAAGTACCTTCGAAATAGTATCGCTACTTCTCGAATACGTCGACGATTATTAATAGTTCCTTATTATATATCTTATAATTTATTTCCGTTAAAGTAAATCGTCGTAAGAAAAAGGCTATTAGTTTTAGTCTCCCTTTATTATCCTTTTATAAGAGGACCGCGGAAATAACGAAATCTAAGGCGTCGGCTTCGATAATCGGGACTCGGTTAGGGTCGAAATATATAAGTACCGGGGCCTTCGTAAAGGTTTCTTTTAATTCCTAGAAGGCCTTCTTTATCTCGATTTCTTATTTCCATAGCTTACGGTTTCCTTTATTAACGCTAGTAATTAGTTTAGCTATGCCCGAGAAATTACGTATGAATTTACGGTAAAAGTTAGCGAACCTAATAAAGCTTTATAAGTCTTTAAGTATAGCTAAGGTACGCTAATTAAGGATAACTTCTACTTTATCTTTAGATATAGTAATACCCCTAGGGCTTATATTATATCCTAAGAATTTAACTTCTTATATTCGCTAGGTATATTTCTTTAGGGCTACCGTTAAATGGTTTTTTATAAGCCGTTTTAAGACTTCTTTAATTAGTTTATTATATTTCTTTAGCGTATTAGTATAGATTAGGATATTATCTAGGTAAGCGATAACCCCGGCGTTTAAGAGGTCGCGGAAGATATGGTTTATTATAGCTTAAAAGGTAACGGGGGCGTTAATTAATCCCATAGGTATAACTATATACTCGTATAGCCCGTAGCGCGTTTTAAAGGCGGTTTTCCATTTATCGCCCTCCTTAATCCGTACTATATGGAACCTTGATTTTAGATTAATCTTAATAAACTACCGCGCCGTTTAGAATAGGTTCTATAGTTCGTTAATTAACGGGATCGGATATCGGACGGATATTATAATTTTATTTAGCTCCCGGTAGTTCGCTACCGGTCTTAAGGCGCCCGGGTCCTTTTTTTTTATAAATATTATAGATACGTCGTAGGGGGCCTTAGATTTTCGGATTTTTCCTATGGCTATTATTTCGTCGAACTAAGGTTTTAAGGCGTTTAATTATCGTTCGTTTATAGCATATAAAGGTTCCTACGGGAGGGTAGTTCCCGGTCGGAGCTTAATAACGTAGTCTTACGGTTACCGATTAAGGAACCGTTATCCGGCTTCCTTAGTTATAATAGGAACGAAGTCGCGAAATTATTCCGGTACTTATACTAGAGCCTTTATTTCTCGTATTATCCTTACGCGAGCTAGCCGTAAGTAATAACTCTAGTACCGTAACGAGTTAAAGTATAGCCGTCCGTTTATAAATAATCCTTAAGGGGGGTATTCCTTTATTTATTATTAGGGTAGGATAGTATCGACCTCTTCGTTTAATTTACTAACTTCCTAAGCGATACGGTAAATATATTCGTAGTTACGGAGCTTTATTTTATTCGTATATTAGAGTCCTTCTAACGAGATTTCCGAGCCGTCGAATCTTATTAGGGTTCTAGCTTTGGAGCGTTAGTTAATAGGAAGGCGTAATTATTCGACTTTAGCGGTATTAATTAAGGGTACCTTATTACCGGTATTTAAAAGAATTCGTAAGGGATATTCCTTTTTCTAATATTTTATTTATATCGTATAAATAAGTCGTTTACTTAACCCTAGTTTATTTAAATTACGCTAAGGGACTTATGGTTTTTTCGTTATTAATACCGCTTCCGTTACTTCTAGCGTTCCGGGCCGTTTAGTAGCCGTAATTTTTACGTTATCTTTATCGCTCCTTTCTTCCGTTAACGCTTACGGGGGGGCATTTAAAAATCCCGTTCTTTATCGGAGTCGGATAGCTTTATAATACGGGAAAGAGTTTCCTCCTAACGTATAATAGTATCGATCTTAGCCCTTTTATTAAGTAGTAGCTCGGGTTTCTTCCTTCTTCTTTTTCCCGATAAAACTTTCTTAGGTAGCGCCGGTAAGTCCCGTCCTTTTAAGTCCTTTTTCGCGAAGTAGGCTAGAATTTAGTAATTATTCCTTCCGTATTTTTAGTAGGCCTTCTTATCCTTCTTTCGTTAATCGATAGCGGCTTAGTTAATCTTAGCTAAAGCTTCCTTATTACCTACCTATCGTAAGTCCTTAGCCGGTACGGGTTTCTTATTATCCTTTCCCTTGCGTTCGTTTACCGGTTAGCCTAAGCGGAAGCGAGTTTCTTTTACGGGTTATCGTTATTATTAGTCCGCTTTCGTATGCTCCTTTTACGAAGCGAACCCTCCTTTTCCCGAAATCCCTAGGTTAGTTATTATATTTTCGTAGATTTAGCCGGCTTCCTTAATTATTTTAAGGAAGGCTTTATCGCTTTCGGGGATGTTACTTAGTCGTAAATAAACTAGTTTAATTATTTCGTCGGGTAAGGTACGGGCGATATAATTCTAGAAGATAGTTCCGGATTATTAAACGATATCGTTAAGGTTTATAAGTTCGGTAAGGTACTAAGAAATATTTCCTTAATACTTTAATTCCTATATCTTCTTAGAGTTACGATATCGTTCGGCGGGGTCTTTAAATCGTTTTTAGAGTACCTAAGAATATCCCGCCTAAGTATCGACGATTATTAACCTTTCTACCTAGGCTAGCCGTTATTAATGCTAGAGTTAGGCCTTTTCGGTAAGTATCGATCCTATTTAGTTAATTTTTTAAACGTTCCGGTTAAAGCTTTCTTTATAGGTTTCGAGGTAGGATTTAACCTTAATTTATTATAGTTAGAACTTAACTAAGTCCTTACCGTTATAAGCCGTAAACTTAATAAGATATATTAAATTAATCGTTACCGTAATATTCCGTCGATTATTTATAGCTTTAGTTTAAGCTTTAATTATACGTTTCTCGGCCGGATCGAAAGGCTCTTACGGTTCTTTAGGGGCGCCGGGCGAGCGCCGCGGTCT